TGTGTAGGAGGAGGAGGGTTGGACTGTGTAGGAGGAGGGTTGGACTGTGTAGGAGGAGGGTTGGACTGTGTAGAAGGAGGGTTGGACTGTGTAGGAGGAGGGCTGGGGCGCAGGTGTGGCTAGATACGGCTAACGTTGTCACGCAATACCTACTAGCATATATTTTACCGCGTACACGTACGTAGATGATGATACATGTCGGAGGCTGTCTGCAACGTTTTCCCAAAATAGAAAAGTATCATAATCTGTCCTCTAGAGACAGTTCGTGAAACCACAGCATCGAAACAGAGACGACACAATGATGCCATCGAAAAATGATGCTATGATGTCTGGACAAGATTCAATATAAAAATCAACGACATTCGATTTTACTCTGGCATGCATCCACTGCATCTTTTATATTTCAGTGTGCGTCGATGCGTTCTTATTTTATTATTATTATTATTGAATGTTATTATATTTTAATTAATTATTTATTTATGTGTGGTGTTGACGTGTTGTAATGTGTTGTTCCTCCGGGTAGAAATCGTAAAACGTTGGCTTGTTTTTTTCTTACAGAGGCACAGTCGCCACCGCGCATGATCGAACATCCATCCAGCATCGTCGTACCGCGAGGTGAGCCGGCGACGTTGAACTGCAAAGCGCAGGGCAATCCCGAGCCGACGATCGAATGGTTCAAGGACAAGGACGGCGTGAGAGACGCCGTTGAAACAGCGAGAGAGGATCCGAAGTCGCATCGTATGCTCCTGCCCAGCGGCTCTCTCTTCTTCCTCAGGGTGATACACGGCAAGAACAACAAGTGAGTCTCGGCGGATCCTCGTCGTTATTGACGTTTAAATGGCTACGTTAATGAAATAAGAACTCGCGTATTAAGTAGCCTGTCGCTGAATTCACCGGCACAATAGTTGCGGATGCTCTAATGATTAATCGACATGATAAAAACCGTGTATTTTATATGAAATCGCTAATGGACAAATTATCCGTGATGAATGATAAGCCGCATAAAACAGGATGTTAACTTCGTCAAACTTTCTATGCTCATTGTTTTCAAATTCGTATTGTGTCGACGCATAATTTATTAAAATAGTGATCAAGTAATGTTCTGACAAAACATCAAATTTATTCTAAGCCGCTTTGAATGAAATTTTGTTTGGAGTGATTTCGTAAAGCATGGAAGCTCGTGTGTGTGTTTTCCGAGTAAGTGCTTTTATAGATCACAATACAGAAACACAAGCATGGTGGTCGAGCATAAGATAGACACAGTACGCGTACCTGTGCACGAGGTATACAATGTTAACACTGCATCACATTCATAAGCATTAACCGCATGCTATATGCGTCGTTGACTCGAACTATAAAGCCACACCTGCATAGTTTTACCGGATGTAAATTATTACTCAATCATCTATTAAGTGCTGTGCATACATGGACTGTTTATGGCCGTGACTCAATGTTAAATCTGTCACTAAGCGTTCCCTACACCCCACTTAAATGAGAAGTGTTTACTGAACGTACGTATCATCTTCAAATTTGCTAAACAACTTACGTATTACATTACTTTTTCGTATTAAAAAAAAAAATTAAGACACGCAAAAATAAATTTCTAAATATTTTCTTTGCAAATATTGAGTACTCCGCAAAAACACAACGTGATAATAACTTTCCACTAAAACATCTAACCTTACAACGGCCCGTGTAGCCGTCCATGTGAGTAAACACGAAAAACGAATGTAAAATCGGGCGCTTCTATTTTCGGGCGAGGAATGCTCTCGCGATGTTTGTTCAGCAAATGAACGCCATTTTCCCGGGGAAAGCCGAGAACCATTCACGAAACGAAATTGTGCCCGCGTCGACGGCGTGCGACCGTTTACTCACTCGTCACGCCCGCGTTGAAGGCGCTCAGTCAACCCCCCGGGGAACCAACCCCATCCTACCCCACCCCACGCCGCGCGCAAGCCGATATGGCTACCGCAATCGCATCCACCGATCTGTATATATAGACGTATTATATTCGTCGAAACGTATTCATACATTATTA